TCCATCTGTTTCTATGGTTTTATATTCACTATCTAATGGTAATTCTAATGGTGCTAAATTTTTAACTTTTGCTTTTATCTTTTTAACTAATTCTATATCTGATTGATTAAAATATTTTTGTCCTTTACTAAATATTTTACTATACAGTGGTCCTACTTTCCTCCCTAAATCTTTAATAAAATGTCTAGCATAATTTAATATTCCTAAAAAGGTTTGTAACTTCTTGATTTCTTCAATTTTGTCTGAAAATTGTAAAATTGTTTATACTATATGTGGTTGTAACTGAATCTTTCCCTCTCCTAAAATTATTCCTAAAAATTCAATTTTTTGTTTATTTATTTCCATCTTCTTTTTACTTATAATTAAACTATTTTCTATAAATTTATTCAAGGTTATCTCTAGATGTTTCATATGTTCTTTATAGTTTTTACTATGTATTAGAATATCACCTATATATACACAAACATATGGAAGAGAATTAAATATACCATCCATCTTTCTTTGAAAAATAGAAGGTGCATTTTTTAATCCAAAATACATGATTATCCATTCAAAGTGTTCTAATGGAGTAGTAAAAACTGTCCAAGGAATATATTTTTTTGCCATTTTTATTTGCCAAAATCCAGATTTACAATCAAATTTAGAAAGTATCTTGCTGTTTTGTATTTTATTTATTAGCATATCCTTATCTGGTATCTTATATCCATCTTCTACAGTATTATCGTTTAATCTTTTATAGTTTATAACCATTCTTGCTTTCTAACCATAAAGACTGCTAGATGGTATTATTACTTTTAAATCTAATAATTCTTTAATCTGTATGTTAAAATCTTCCATGTCTTGATTCGTATGCTTTATTTCTACTATTCTAATTTTTATGTTTTCATTTATTATTTCTAATTTAGCTTCTATTTTATTTTTATCCCAATGTTTTATAAGGTTTAATCTTTTTAGCTAATTCTAAAATTTTCTCTATACTATCTATCTTAGAAGATGTCTTGTTAAAAATTATTAATTCTTTATTTTTTGGTATAAAATCTGTTTTTAAAGTTTCTAAAGATAAATTATCTAAAAATTCTAAATTTTCTACACAATATTTTCTAGGTGGATCATTTACGTTTCGATTGCTTACAATTAAGTGTATTTAATATTTGATCATTGTTTTTATTTTTAATTTTTATCAACTATTAGAAAGTTACAAATAGGTCCTCATACTTTGATTTTCGCCATTTTTGACACTATCTTCTTGGATCTTTCAAGTTTCAATTGCATACAATTGAATTCATTTAACTTCTTTAATTTTTTTTAATTTATTGTATAGGTAATTATAATATATTTAATTGCACATGTAATGGCAAGAACATTAATGAAATAAGTAAGGTACTATAATTTTTAAAATTTACGAACAATAAAATATTATAAATAGAGATTACACGTGATTTAAATTGAAATTATACATCTATAAAATATTATGTAGTAGGATTTGATTTGTACAAAATTGACGAGTACGCTTTGTTGCATCGCACCATTCTTACCTACGTAGTCGGATTTTTTTTTTCAATAGATGGTATTCTAGACGTATAGACACATCCAAAGTACGTAGTCCAACTTCGGGTGCCAACAAATTATTAAGTGGGAGAATGTGCTCGGAAGCTTCCCATTTGGCTTCATTTGGTAGAGGAAATATAATTTCGGCATACACTACTCTCTAATAATCAACCATGAAATAACGAGTGCATAAGTTGTGTGGTGGAAATCCTCCATGCATAGACACGGTGAATGCATGTTCACATAGAAAACTCTTCAACTAAAAACGTCTACAGGTTATGTATTATCATTCAAGTCTACGATGTATCCAATATTACGTACACATCTTTAGAAAAGCGTAATTTATCTAGTGGTTCTACACTTATTTTTCTTGTCACATCTACAGTTTTGAAGAGTTTATCTTCCCATATTGAGGTTAGCACACTTGTGCACGTAATACGTTCCGCATGTCGATTGTAAAACCATCGATACAGTTTGTTACAAGTGTGCTTAGTGATTACGAGAATTGATAATTCTTGATCTTTCTTCGATAATGCACTGATCGGCTTTTCATTGTTTGACGTCATCATGTTGTATCGATGTCCTAAAAATATGACCGTGCTCAGTGTTCAATCCCAATCTTCACTGTTAGATACTCATATGCATCATGTAATTAGATACTCATATGCATCATGTAATTTATTTTTTTATTTCGAACATGAACTTATTGACTCTTCGAAACTATAGACGTCTACAACCCTCCTAAACAATGCAACAACGTCGCTTCCCTGATACTTAGTTTTCAGATTTCTTTGTATATAGTACATGCAATAACTGTGATCTACCTTGAGAAAATTTTCAGTGATGCCATTTATTATAGGCTGCCCCGATTAGTTATTAAGACAAGATTCTCAACATCATCAATTGTTTCCTTCAACTTTGTAAAGAAACAATTCATCGTTTGATCATTCTCGCCATCGACTATACTGAATGCAATAGGGTAAATTTGGAAGTTGAAATCTTAACATATATCAATAATCACTTCCCTTCGCATCTAGCTTGCAAGGTTGTACCATCAACTAAAATTAGGGATTGCATTGCGTTTCGAAATCCTCGAACGCATTATCCAAGAGCTATAAAGAAATTCTTAAAGCGATTTTCGTTCATCGATCTCAATAAAAAATGTCGAGTCAAGATTAATTCTCCCTATATTATGGAAATACTTGGCCAATTTAGTATAATTCTCTTCAGTTGAACCCATTAAATTCTCTAATGTACATTTTTTAGCCTTCCAGGCATTTTGGTAGATCACGGCCACCTTATACTCTCAACGAACGTTGTTGTTTGTAAATCGTCCGTAGATTCAGAAATCTGTGTATTATTTATTGACCAATAAATCACGATCAGGCTTGTTTATGATCGTTTCGACGAATACCCATTTCACAAGCATGTTTTTATACATATTTGCGAATTACAAAAAACTTATTCGGGTCCATCTTGGTCACACGCAAATGCCAACTGCAACTGTCATCAATGCAAATAATTGTGTCTGTAGGCTTGTTTCCTTTTTTCACTTTAAACTCAAAGTTATGTTTCATTGCAATTCGATACATAGCTTTCTGCAAATCTATTTTTGTGTCAAACAGTCGATCTTCTTCATCGGGAACCACATGAGAATACTCGAAGACCGTGTACTCGGCCCAACCTATGAATTTTCACCCCACTCATGTCTCTAATTGGTTAAAGCAATCAAATCCTGATTTGTAAATGGCCTTTCATCCTTGTTGTCTCGAACTATCTCGTGAATTCTGTGCGTAACAATGAGATCATGATAAATAAAAACTGTCTTGAGAATAGCAACATCATCTTCACAAGCTCTATCTTCATTTTATTCCAAAATCATTATCATTACGATCTTCTCCACCGAAATCTTTGTGTTCGTTCTAGAGGACATTTTTCCTCAATAAAGTTACACAAATAAGAGTCGACTCGCAATATTGGTTCAATTAGCAACTTCATTTTGCACTTTGTAAAGTAATTTTTACCCGTAGAATCCGAATGGTTGAATGATCTTGAAATAGAAATTCCATTTTCATATCATATTGAGTAAGTTTAATATATTATGGTACATTTTTCACATGCAGTGCACTTGATGTTATCACAATTTCAGTAACCTCATCTCCTTCAATTATCCATTTTCATCGAGCATTTTCATTCATCAAAGTAACAAATGAGAGACATACAGATCGTATATCTGCATTACCAATCAAAATTTTAAAAAATAAGATTAATCATAAGGAATTAATAAAAAATGATATCTTTTAAAAAAAAAAAGGGCAGTCAGTTAATGGACGGTCCAGTAGTCTAAATTCTTAAAATACCAAATTTGATTATAAAGATAAAAATTTCCCCATTTTCTTGTTTAAAAAAATTATAAATTTGTTATATGAAATGTAAAAATTATCTTTGTATTAGCAAATATCGAAATAAAATTTAACGATTAAAAAATATTTTAATTTAATGAAAAACAAAATTAAATATAGATGAATATACTTACCAATTCGAAGTGCTGGATATAAACGAAATTTTTTCGTTGAGTGTTTCATAAATTCTTGAAGTAGATGAAAAATGAAAGAGCCGTTATCTGTGTCGGAGAAAATAGATAAAAAAAGTAACTTTGATTTTGAAATTTTAAGGGAAAAGTATTTTTATCTGTTTTGTAACTAAAATGTTATTCTCGTATTTTTAATACGAGAGCATTTGAGGAGGATTAAAATTGAATTTTTTATAGAAGTTTTTAAATTGTGTGGTTGAAAAGTGATGGATCCCATAAAATATGTGATTCAAATTTAACGTTGACTTTAAATTAATATTTTAATTGAATTTTATGGCCTTTTTGTGCCTCTTTAATTTCAAAAATCATATTATGACCCCGTTTGGTACCTTTTTTTTTAAAAATATATTTTTCTCTCTTTTCTTTTCAATCACACATTTTTTATTAAAATAATATTACATGTAAATCAAAAACTTTTCTTTATTTTTCAACCACACATTTTTCATCAATTTACTATTATAAAATACATTTTTAGATGAAAATGGATATCAAACACCCTATGTGAAATAGTAATTGATGTTAAAATGTGTGATTAAAAAAAAGAAAAAGTTTTTAATTTACGTATAATATTATTTTAATAAGGAATGTATGGTTGAAAATAAGTATCGTAAAAAAAATAATGCGATAGAATAACGTGATCCAAAACAAAAGGGGCGGGGGGCAATAGTCATATTTTCGTAGTTTAACTATTCGGATATTTTTATCTTTTCCAATCGGAAGGTCACTAGGCTAAAAAATAGTAACTAAAGGGCATTGTAAAAAGGATTATGTTATAGAAACATAATCCTTTTTACATGGGATGATTGGACACTTACACTTACGAGAGTCGATAATTATTTTATTCACGTCGACGGTCAGTCACCCGTCACCCTCACCAAAATTCGGGCATTTGGCATTTTCCTATTGAAAATTCTCCCCTTCTTCAATTCCCAAACGGGGGAAACAGGCTGTAAATGAAGAATAAAGCATTCGATCAGCTACACAGGGCACATTCTTGAACCCTCGGACCTCAAATTATGTAAATCTGCAATAATTTAATTACCACGTATTCGTGTGTAATATATTCGCTGACTCATTGGGATCCAACAGAACCTCGAGGCACTGTCGAAAATATCTATTTTCGTGCACTCGTTTTTACGAGTAATTTTAATTTTATGGTTTTTGTTGGTATTACACAGTCTATTAAATTGGGATCGCGCCTCGGATTCCCAAGGCGAAAACAAGATGGGGTTGAGACAATTTTGAAAATTGGAGTTGGAATTCTGTTTTTAATTTAATTCAACTTCAGGAGAAATGAAGGCTGGGAGTGCGGCCAAGCTTATTGTCGATGCGCTGTTGCAGCGTTTCCTTCCACTTGCCAGGCGTCGAATCGAAACAGCTCAAGCACAAGTAAGAATCTGATTGGTTTTTAATTTTTTCGGGGTTTGATCAATAAGATATGCAGAGCTCGTTGAAGTGTAGATAATGAGAAGTAGATTGTAGTTTTATTTAATCACAATGGGCTGGAATATATTTTGTCCTCTTCGTTATGTTGAATTTGTGCAAGGCACTCCATGTATTTGGAATTGGAGAGTGCCAGTATAATAGATTATCAGGTGATTGACCATTCAATAAGATTCACAATTATTTATACACAATCAATTGCTACTTGCAGCTGGTGTAATTTCTTTCTTTGTAGTCCTTACATAGCAAGACAGGACTAAAAGGTAACAAAATAAAAGATGAAAATGTATTATTTCTGGTGCAGTCAAAAGTGAGATATGAACGATAGGTCCAGAGTGAAAAAAATGTGGAAGATCATCTGCAATCAAAGGGAGAAGATTGTCAGCTATGAGATAATGGAGTTACAGCTTATATTTAACTTTTTATAGAAATTTTGACGGTGGGAGCTTTTAACATGTCATACTAGTATTTATCAATCGCTCGCTCTTGTGTCTCATCATATGCAATGTGAATTCTTTGCATTTCATTATATGATGGGATCAGTTGGATTTTATTCTTCCTTTGTACCCTAAATGCAGGATGGGCAGTACCTTCGACCATCAGATCCGGCCTACGAGCAAGTGTTAGACTCTTTAGCTATGGTGGCGCGGCATACGCCTGTACCTTTATTGGAAGCTCTATCACGGTGGAGAGAGAGGTATTTTC